TTATACACACACACACACACACACACACACACACACACAATTGATTATTAACACACTTTTAAAAAGTCCACTTTGTAATAACATCAAATTAAATGTTTTACTTTAAAGTACATTTTAAATCAGTATGTTTTTATAATCTTTACACTTATGTATATTTATTTCGATGTGTTGATGTTAATTTGACTAACAAGCATTTTTAATGTACTTGATAATCATTTTAACAGTGTGTTTGATATCACATTTAAATATTAATATACTTTAAATGTACAAAATTGCAACTTCACAATTGAGTAAAGTTACATATATATTTAAAAAGATGATATACAAGTTTCAGTAGAAATTACATTAAAGTATATTTAAGTTTATTTATGCTAGTCAGCACATTTGTCAATACACTTTAACCATATTTCAAAGACAATAGAAGTAATTATGAAATTACATTTTAAGATGTACTTTAGTCTTAAGTGAGTCAATAAAGCACTCTAAACTTACATTTAAAATAAATTTAAACTATAATACATTTTCATTTAATTACATATACAGTAACAATACATTTAGTTCCAACTTACATATATTGTAAACTATAAATTATATATATACTTATTATATTATTTCCATAATAAATAATCTTCTTAAAAGTATGCTGAAGTATAAAGTATATAAAGCAGGGCCTAGTCAGGCCCCTGTTCGGGAGACAGTAGGTTGTCAGATAAAATCAGGACAGTCCTGATTATACGAGCCATTGCCCATGTCTTGGAGTTACAGAGCACCATTTGTCCCGATAATTAGTTTTGGCTTTGGTTGGATTGCTATAAATTAATGTTTTGAACTGATAGAAACATTACACAAGTATTATATAAAGAATCACAACTGCTGCTTTCTCTTCAGAAAATTGAGAGGTACGTAGCAAACATGAGCTCGTGTGTAACTGCACAGATGATGGAACAATATTTCACGGTCATCTGGTCACCTTAAGAGAGAGTGAGAGAAAAAGAGAGGAAGGGGAATAAGCTCGGACCTGGATGCAGGAGGAGAAACTGAGCAGGGTCAGAAGGAGAAATACTTGTGACATCCCTTAGTCCTGCTGCTGCTGGCACTGGGAGGGGAGCCGGAGGTCCAAACAGATATGCTCACCTCATAGGAAGGCTTCAGCTATCACCACACAGCCTAAAGCACAGATGGAAACAGACAGAGTGTCAAAGAGATCAACACATTATCAAACAGCAAATGCAAAGAGTACCCTCAAATAAAGCTGAACGTTATGATGATGATGATGATGATGATGACGTTGTCTGTGGTTCAGGAGTGGCTTAACAAGAGGAATACGACAACTGTAGCCAAATTCCTTGACACGTCTGTGTGTGGTGGCTCTTGATGCCTTGACCCCAGCCTCAGTCCATTCCTTGTGAAGTTCACTCAAATTCTTGAATCGATTTTGCTTGACAATCCTCATAAGGCTGCGGTTCTATCGGTTGGTTGTGCATCTTTTTCTTCCACACCTTTTCCTTCCACTCAACTTTCTGTTAACATGCTTAGATACAGCACTCTGTGAACAGCCAGATTCTTTGGCAATGAATGTTTGTGGCTCACCCTCCTTGTGAAGGGTGTCAATGATGGTCTTCTGGACAACTGTCAGATCAGCAGTCTCCCCCATGATTGTGTAGCCTAGTGAACCAAACTGAGAGACCATTTTGAAGGCTCAGGAAACCTTTGCAGGTGTTTTGAGTTGATTAGCTGATTGGCATGTCACCATATTCTAATTTGTTGAGATAGTGAATTGGTGGGTTTTTGTTAAATGTGAGCCAAAATCATCACAATTAAAAGAACCAAAGACTTAAACTACTTCAATCTGTGTGCATTGAATTTATTTAATACACAAGTTTCACAATTTGAGTTGAATTACTGAAATAAATGAACGTTTCCACGACATTCTAATTTATTGAGATGCACCTGTACAAGCTCCGCTCTCTGCCATCATTGCGCTTATGGAGGAAAGAGTGGCCCCGTCTGGGGACCCCAAACAGTGACGTCACCGCAGCGATGGTCCCGAGCTGGAGCGACACATTTTGTTCAGTTGAGC